CCAGGCTCCGGTTCAGCGGTTCCTGAGTCACCGCCTCCACCTAAGGAGGTAACTGAAGCCAACATCAACTTTGCTGCTTTGGAGATGGGATGGGAAACAAGTTCCCCAGCCGGCACTTACTCTTCCTGGGGCCAAACACCACCCTCCGCCATAACCAAGCGTAAGCGTCGGGGTATGAGAAGCTCCAGTGGTCTGCGCCAGGGCTGCAGGTCAAGGTCTGTCATCTACGAACAGGCTTGGGAGTGGGGCAAATCCCGCTCACAAGTGGGGTGGGGGCAGAGATCACAAGCCCCGTCTCCCAGATGTGAAATACGGCCTGAAAATCCTGTGAGACACAAGTCTACGACTGGAAGAAGTCTTCTAGATCTTATTAGCAACTCCTCAAAATAGCCTGTTACATGCTGAGACGCACAGAGGCAACTTCTCATGCGGGGGGGGGGGGTTCAGAGAAAGGTCCCCCGAGGAAGTGGCAGCGGGGCATTTTCTGCAGCCCTGTTACGACATCCCACTGACAGGGGAAGGTCACCTCAGGTCACCCGCTGGGGCAGGAGGGTTCCCAGAAACCTGGAAATAGTCAGGGCAACGCAGAAAAACCCTCAGCACTGCAAACTAATCCTGCGCTTTGAAACTTAGCACCTGTTAATGCAAAATACTGTAATGAAATCCCTGCCAACAACGAGTGTATAAAAAGCAGATATCCAGGTTGAATCTGTCCTCAAAAATAAATATTTCCACACATTGTAAAACAAACAAACAAACAAACAAACCAAACCCCACACACGCAAAACCAACAACTCAAACCAAGAACAACCTCCCCTCATGCAAGGCACAGCAACAAGAGCTCTGCTGCTGACCGAGGCACGCAATGCCATCTACAGTTTTACTACAGAAATTCATGCACGGGCAATCAAAACAAACAAATTGCTTCTGCTCTCAGAGATCCTCATGCTGCAAGTCATTTCATTGCTTTCCAGTCACTCTTCGCACATGTACAGCGTAAGCCCTTGGTAATTAACACCCAGTGGAGCCGCGGCAGGCTGGCACGAAGAAGGGTGGAGGGACGGGCTCGTGCCCCACTTGGCTGCGGCTGCGGTCGCGGTCACGGGGAGGAGGCTGCAGAGGCTCCTGCCTCGGCTGGCAGGGATGTGCCCCACACTGGACCTTCTCAAGGCTTCACTCCTGCCTAAAGGCAAGCTTTTCATATCCACACGCTCTACTTTTAAACTAGAATCTGCATAATGGAGACAGACAGACAGACAGATAGAACTTCCCTATCCAGATGTCTGCATCAAGCATCAAACTGCAGGTATTATTACTCTTTAAAGGAGAGGGTGGTGGAAGGTGGGCTGGCTTAAATAAGTACCATGAGAAAGCAGGTATATTTTAAAGACCGGAGAGCCTGTGTGCTAAGTTAGGCACTACTAAACAGACCCAGGGGCTTAGTTAGCCACCCCGGCCAGCAAGGGACGGCCAACCACCAGGAGACAAGCCGTACACAGTGACATGCCGGAGGAAGGGGTGGCATTACACACGGACCTCTGGGCCAAGCAGTCCTACCTGGGGCCTTGCACCAGCACGGTCCGAGCACAGCAAGCCCCAGCTGTGCGAATCCTGGCCCAGCCCGTACTCAGCGGTGGAAACAAAAACTTTTACAATGTCAGTAAGCTGACGGACTAATTACTAAACCTAGAACTGCCTCCATGTTTTGTCAGACCCGTTGACAGTTCCGGAGCTGGTTACTTGCTATGGTGCCTCCACTTTAAATTTCTTGCCTTCAGTCAGAGAGGAACCCAAGATCTAGATCTGGATTTCTGAGTGGCATGTAAGATCAGAAGGGAAAGAAGAAAAAATGGAAGCTGAGCAGGGAGTTGCCTGAACACTCGCTTTGGAAACAGCAAGCTCCTAAGCACAGGAACACGCCTACCGACGCGGCCTAGGCCATGGCACTCACACCGTTCCTCCCCGCGGCAGAGCCCACCGCCGGCGCGGCAGGTACCCCTCCGGCTCGAAGCCTCCCGAGGCGAGGGCCGCGGCGCTGCAGAGGCAGCCCGGGACAGCCCAGCGCGTGCAGCCCAGCGCCCTCGCCCACACGCTCCGCTACACGCCTTGGTTTGTTATTACTGCAGCCCAAACGAAGCTGTCCTGTAATATTAATTAGGTGAAGAAGGGCTGTCAGAAAAGACCAGCAAACAAATAACATTGGCACTGTTCGATTTTCGACTAACATGAGTTCCCCCAAATGTTTAGAGCAAAGGGCTCAGGCTAAAAATTAAGTCATTTTCTCTGGTACTGAAAGATGAAACCAGAGGTTTTGCAACAACCAGTTCAAGCACTAGGACAACAGACATGCCGCCACCGCTCCTCTATAAATAGTGGTTTTCTCCCAAGATTCCAGCATCCCAACTTGCTAAAAAAAAAAAGCATGGCATCTTATTTCTACATTTCTAGAGCATGACCACTATCAGTATCTCCCTTCTATTGTCAACAGAAAGAAAAATACTTAAACAATCCTCCTTCCTGCCCCAAGCAAAGGAGAGGTGAGATCCCGGGGTTCAGAGCTGCCAGCTGTCAGGCTTCTACCTAGGCGGCCTCCTCCAGGGAGGCTGGTGGGAGCTGCCCGTCCCCCCGCACCCGGCGCCTGCCTGTCCGCACCAGGAGACGGCGGTCCCCAAGGCCACCACAGCAACAACCTGGGTCTGCCCTCCTCTATCGCACATGATACAGCACATGCTTCCAGCAACTGCCCTTTAAATTCTGTTACGTACTACACGATAGCAGCTTAAATGCAAGTTATAATTGTAAATTATGTATTAATTTGCATCTTTCTTACCTGTAACGTCTCTCACTGGTATAAGTATATGAAAAGGTATCATCTAATGAAGTAGTATATTTTACAGCTTTTTCAAAAAAGCCTGGATTAAACACAAATCTTGGAAAGAAGAGTCAAATAATTAAACCTAAAAATAGCATAAATATTTCTTTTTTAAAAGCACTGAATCAACTTCCTTACACAATTTTGAGTCTGGCAGACTCAAATACCACACCAGCTGTGCAATACACAGGGCTCCTGGAAGTACAAATCTTTTTCCTCTCTCTAATTGGGACCAGGAATCTTACACTTTCTCATCCCTGCTGGACGAGAATCAATGATACTGATCTAACACCAACGAAAAGCTGCCTTACGAGCTGCTAAAATGAACTGCAGAACCCCAAAGTTCAGGACAGACTAACAAGATCGCTGAAACGGCAGCAGCCAAAGATGTCCCCCATGGACTGCCCCATCACGGGTCAAACCTACAGCTAACCGTCTTCTTTCCAAACCTCTCCAGTTGGAATTCTTACCCGAGCCATCTAAAGCAGGTCTTTTCAATTGTGTGCAGAGATGTTTGAGACTGTAAAACTTCAGGCAGTGCAAGGTCTTCGTTATTTCCTTGTCCTGCACCACCTAACAGCTCTCAGCTCCTCAGGACTGCTAATTCACAGCTGCTATACATTGCTGATCCGTGCCCCACGGAAAGTTCCCAGTACATCAGGTATCATCTTCCTAACACCTAGGCTAATGCCAATTCAAATCAAACACTCCCTTAAGGTATTCCAGCCCATAAATCTCTGAGGTTACAAGTCTGTTTCATTCAGACACTTCCTTTCATCTTCATGGTGAATACCTCATGAGGTATCAAAGACAGCATTTGGAGTATCTTTAGGAGGTGCAAGAAAGTCACTTTTCCCCAAAGAGTGTTGCAGTTTAGCTTTTCCTGTCTGAAACAAGTTGGGAAAAAAACAGCCACTGCTTTACAGCCAGCCTTTAAAATCCCCATTAGCTGGCTCTCACCGTCACGTCCCCTACACAGTATTTCTGCACTCTCAAGCTGTCACACAAGCGTTTGAACAGCGTTTTGCGCTCGGGCGGCACTTACCGACGGGCAGGCGGAGGGTGATGTTGTTGCAGAAGTCGGTGTAGCAGCACTCGGTCTTTGTGATGTTCTTGGAACTGTGGCAGAAGACCTGCGCGTTCAGCTCCGGGAGGGAGACGCAGGACTTGATCACCTCCTCCCGCCCGTTGGTCAGCATGACGGAGGCCCAGCAGGCACCCTCCGTCTGGCAGGTGAAGTTGGTGTGCTCGCACAGCTGGCACACACACTTCAGACCTGAAAAAGAGGTTTCCAGCTTTTGTGAGAAGACCCCGGGAAGACAGACCCCCACGGCAACCGTGCCGGCTTGTCTTGCCAGTCGGCCA